TTAAAATTAAATTAAAATTCATAAAATTAAAATTAAATTAAAATTCATAAAATTAACATTAAATTAAAATTCATAAAATGTTCATAAAAATAAAATTCATAAAATTAACATTAAATTAAAATTCATAAAATTAAAATTAAATTAAAATGCATAAAATTAACATTAAATTAAAATTCATAAAATGTTCATAAAAATAAAATTCATAAAATTAACATTAAATTAAAATTCAGAAAATTAAAATTAAATTAAAATTCATTAAATGAACATTAAATTAAAATTCATAAAATTAACATTAAATTAAAATTTATAAAATGTAACCTTACTTTTAATGTCCATTATTAAGATCTATCGTACATAATTTCGATAGAACATATATTTGAGATAGATCGCAAATAAGTAAGATCATTCATACAATTTACTATTTTCCTCTCTTTAATGCCAATGTATATCCTTTTAGGATCAATCATTATTATATATGATCGATCCCAATTTTCCCATTCCCCCTGTAGGCAAGACGCTCTACCCCAGTAAGGTTATAACATAAAAAAAGAAAAAAAAATTAATTTGATCGATCATGTTACTGTATGATTGATCTTAGTTATCATTTCTTATAACCTCACGCCTAAAAGTTACTACTTTCTCAATGATAGGAGTAAGTTTACCTCAATGCATTCTAGCGGTACTAACCTAACCTAACCTCAACATCAACATGTACTAACCTATTATCATGTACTATCCTTGCATTAACTTGTTGTAACCTTACTATAAAATGTTTTAACCTCACGCTTAAATATTNTTATCATGTACTATCCTTGCATTAACTTGTTGTAACCTTACTATAAAATGTTTTAACCTCACGCTTAAATATTACAACATTACCTCTCCAAGTAGTAACCTGATAACAATTTATTATAACCTCACCTATAACGATTACATATTTGCCACATAGGAGTAATTTTACCTGTAAGTGTTATTTTTTAGTCGATAAACTTACCTTTTTTTTAATTGGTAACTTTACCTCAATAAGTGATAATTTTATTATAAACATTGTACTCCTACCTGTAAACGTAGTAACCTTACCTCTTNAAGTGATAATTTTATTATAAACATTGTACTCCTACCTGTAAACGTAGTAACCTTACCTCTTCATGTTATAACCTCACCTCTAAAGGTTATCTCTTTGCAACTGACAACCATAATTTAACCTTTATGCATTGTAACTCTCCCTCAATAGTGGATAAAATCACCTTTCAATGGGTAACTTTGCCTAATTAAGTGATAACCTTATTTTTAATATTGTCATCTTCCCTATCAAAATTGTAACCTTACATCAACATGTAATTATCTTTCATCAAAATGTTATAACCTCACATCACCTGTAAACGTACTAACAAAGGTTGTAATCTTTCCTACAAAATTGTAAACTTACTTTTAATGTCCATAATATTAAATCTTAAGGGAAAAATAAAATTTAAATCTTAAGATCGATCTTACTTAATGTCGATAGAACATAGACCTAAGATCGATCATACTATTCATTATTTTGATCTCAAGAATTTAATGTATATAACATTAGGATCGATCTTTGTTATGTATGATTGATCCCACTNATACTATTCATTATTTTGATCTCAAGAATTTAATGTATATAACATTAGGATCGATCTTTGTTATGTATGATTGATCCCACTCCCTTATTTCTCCCATAGGAAAGACGCTCCCCCTACTAAGGTTGTAACATAAGTACAAAGAAAAAAAAAATTAGATCGATCATGTAAATACACGATCGATCTTAATTATCTTTTTATTTACCGACTAAACAAGTTATAGGTTTACATCCAAAAAAAAACAAGAAAATTAAATCAACAAATCAATGGTTGTACACTAATGAGCAGAACATAAATTTTAATTTAATGTTAATTTTATGAATTTTAATTTTATGAATTTTAATTTAATTTTAATTTTGTGAATTTTAATTTAATTTTAATTTTTTGAATTTTAATTTAATGTTAATTTTTTGAATTTTAATTTAATGTTAATTTTTTGAATTTTAATTTAATTTTAATTTTTTGAATTTTAAATTAAATGTTACTTTTATGAATTTTAAATTTATAATTTTGAACTTTAAATGTGAGGTACAAACTCTTAAAGGTTAGGTTACAACAATTAAACGTTATGTATTAAAGGTTAGGTAATATTACAATAATTAAAAGTAAAATTACTATATTTGAAAGTGAGGTTATAACTCTTAAAGGTTAGGTNACGTTATGTATTAAAGGTTAGGTAATATTACAATAATTAAAAGTAAAATTACTATATTTGAAAGTGAGGTTATAACTCTTAAAGGTTAGGTTACAACAATTAAAGGTTAGGAATTAAATGTTACGTAAGGTTACCACAACTAAAAATAAGGTTATAAGTGTTTAAAGTTAGGTTATAAATAGTAAAGGTAAAAATACCAGAAAAAAAAAAAAAGCGACTGAAGTTACAAGTATTTGAGGTGAGTTATAACCCTTTAACGTAATATTACTATATTTAGAGGAAAAATTATCACCTTTAAAAAATAATGTTTAATAATAAAAAATTTACGATCACATTTAAGTAATATTGAATACCAAAAAATTTGTGACCGCACCTTATTTTCGGTACGGTACCGCTGGTTGGGCAGGCGNTTAGACCCACATCTAGTGATCAAGACAACCCAACACACACACACACACACAGATATATATATATATATATAACTTCAACGTTTATTGTGTGCATGTATATATAAATATACATGTTATTCTCATCAATTGTAGAGGAGCTATGGAACCAATTCATATCTAATTTTTAATTGTTATTCTCATCATCCCATCCTCAGTTCCTACCAGACATTGACCAATTGGTCCCCTTAATTATGCCATTAGAGCACACCCTATGCTCAATCCCCACTCTAGAAGAAATCAAAGCCACCTTATTTGACATGTCTTCACTTTCATAATATTCAGTTTTTTTCCTGTCTAACTTGTGGTGCATATTCAGATGAGACATGTGGTATTTGTGCCTCCAGCACTGTCACAATTGAGAAATACATGACATATTATAAATGAATTAAATAATTATTATTCACCGTGTATGTTATTTATTATCAAATATTAAATAAAATTATCTTATTTAATTTTATCTTTTATTCACTTGTATTATAAATGAATTAAATAATATTTATCTAACGTTTATGTTATTTATTATCAAACATTAGATAAATTATTTTATTTAATTTTATCTTTTATTTGTCTGTATTATATTACTTTATTCAATCTATCTATTTCTAACAGGATAATCACATAAAGTTATAAGATATGATGCAACATTTTAATTTGTGTCGGGCTCTCCTTTATCAGGCGCACATCCAGTGATCAAGACAACCCAACACACACACACACACATATAAAACTTCAACATTTGTTGGGTGTATGTATATATAAATAAGTTAGGTCAATAGGTAAATACGTAAGTGATGACATAAATGCGTACGTTTCGAATTTATAATCTAATATGCAACATTATCTTGGACAAAACGAACCAAGTCATTAATGACTGTGAGAAAGACATGACAACAANGTTAAATACATAAATGCGTACGTTTCGAATTTATAATCTAATATGCAACATTATCTTGGACAANGGTAAATACGTAAGTGATGACATAAATGCGTACGTTTCGAATTTATAATCTAATATGCAACATTATCTTGGACAAAACGAACCAAGTCATTAATGACTGTGAGAAAGACATGACAACAACCCCATTTTCTTTCCTTCAACATGATCATCTTGTATACGTTATAAGCCAAAGCCACCAAGAAATACTTTCAGTTAAACACAACCTTCTCTAGGCTGCTAATCAGAGTCTCCATTGAAATCATGTCTAACACCGGAGAAGCTAACGGTGATGGGTTCGATTACGATAGAGCAAAAGAAGTGAAGGAGTTCGATGAAACAAAAGCTGGAGTTAAAGGACTCTTAGACACTGGTGTGATCAAGATCCCCAGAATCTTCATTCATCCACCTGAAAACCTCCAAAACTCATCACCTCATACTGGTACTAACCATCTTCAGGTCCCAGTGATAAATCTCGAAGGCTTTGAAAGTGGAAGACGAGTGGAAATCGTCAATCAAATACTCAGAGCATTGGAGACGTGGGGATTCTTCCAAATGATTAATCATGGAATTCCCACTATTGTTATGGAAGAGGTTATAGAAGGCATAAAGCGTTTCCACGAGCAATCCCAGGAGGCGAAGATGGATTGGTACACACGTGATTTTGAGCAGAAAGTAAAGTATTACAGCAACGGAGATCTGCTTATATCCAAAGCTGCGGACTGGAGGGATTCGATAGCTTGTTACTTTGATGACTGTGTGCTGCACTCTGATGCGTTACCTTTCATTTGCAGGTTACTTGCATAACCCAAAATTCCTGATCACCTGCCATGTATTCCATAAATTCTTAGAACATGTTCTTACAATTTGCAGGAAACCCATAATCGATTACATGGAATGCATGATTAGGTTTAAGGAGGAACTGTCGAAACTACTTTCAGAAGCACTAGGGCTTAACAGTGACTACCTAGAAAAGATTGGTTGCATGAAAACTGCATCACTAGTGTGCCACTACTACCCCGTTTGCCCTGAGCCAGACTTGACTCTAGGCTCATCCAAGCATTCAGACCCAACTTTCATGACTATTCTCTTGCAAGACAGCATTGGTGGCCTCCAAGTTCTTCACCAAAATCATTGGGTTGATGTGCATCCAGTGAAAGGAGCCCTAATAGCAAACGCAGGAGAGCTTATGCAGGTGAAGTTACAGAATATGCACTTCTAATTGTTCTGCAATCTCCAAAATCACAACTTAATTTTTATTCCTAAANGTTTATGCAGGTGAAGTCACAGAATATGAAGTTCTAATTGTTCTGCAATCTCCAAAATCTCTTAATTTTTCTTCCTAAATCATGTAGCTTATAACCAACGACAAGTTCAAAAGTGTGGACCATCGAGTACTGGCTGGACGAGTTGGCCCCAGGATATCAGCAGCATGTTTCTTCACCCCAAGTATTGCCACTACATGCGGACCAATTAAGGAGTTACAATCAGACATCAATCCACCTATATACAGGGAAACTCACACCACAAAATACCTTGCATGCTACATGGCAAAAGGACTAGATGGTACCTCGGCCCTTCCTCACTTCAAACTATAAGAAACCAATGCTGATNACAAAATACCTTGAATGCTTCTGGGAAAAACGACTAGATGGTACCTCGGCCCTTCCTCACTTCAAACTATAAGAAACCAATGCTGATCTTGAATTACAATGCTGCTCAATTGGCTCCTGAATATCCTTAAAAAGAATAGCTACTCTGTTCTATTGCCAATTAATCTACATCTTACCTTCCGACAGAATTTATCTACATCTTTATGTATTCTGAGGTATTCAACCTCTACCTAAGAATGCTTTTAAATATTCTCAAGTGTCTACTACGTGGATCCTAAATTTTGTCTTTGGACAAGCAACTGCAACTTTGGCTTTGTTCTCATCACCAATCCATTGAAAATTGAGCTTAAATATGCATAAATGACCATCTGGCGCGGTGGAGATTTTTTTGTTGAAAACTAGGCATAATCTGCAACGTTTAAGAGCTGAGAGAACCATTGTAACAACGTTCTCCAGGATAAAAGCAATTCTCATGAAGAAAATGATAGAAAAGTTTGGAATGCAACTCTAAGGGTGGTGCAAACATTAGCCTCCGTCGGATCTCTCAATTGATTGCCAAAGCAACTGTGTCTATTCTGTGCAGGAAACTAATTTGGCTTCCCATCCAATATAAACCACACAAGCACTTCGGGCGTCTTAACAATTTCTCCTTGGTATGTTTCTCACTGCTGCATGTAACACAGCAACAAATTCCAATCTCACGAGAAGAATAAGTAAACCAGATGCAGTCCTTCTGCGCATGGTTCAAGGTCGCTGTTTCGGCCCTTGACTCGGGGACTACTAAGATATATTTGTCGCATCGTTGCGACACTGTATCGGCCGATATTCTCAAAACACTATATAGAAGGCTCAAAAAATTTAGGAAAAATTAGAAAAAATTATAATAAATGTAAATATCATTATGCATGCATCATATCCCCAAAAAACATTATTTAACACATTAATCATTACAAAAAAGAATAATAACGGCGCTACCGAAAAATATTTTTCATCATCTATGTTCAATATTAATATAATTTAACTTATAATTTTTAAAAATTATAAAAATATATAAGTGTATATATATGGTTAACTTAATAGCTTTAAAAATGAAAATCTACTTATAAATAAATTCTTCATTTAATTATTTAATGTATATCTAACTAGAAATTAAATGTTTTTTTTCATTATGTATATTTAATTATTAAATCTTCCATTAAATATACAAAAGCAAATTTAATAAGTTAAGTTATAATTATATTATATGGTAAATATTAAAAATTATATAATTAAAAAAATTGGACAAAAACAGTTTGAATTGTGAGATTATTGGGAACCAAAAGAGAAAAGAAGAAAAAAGGGGGAGGCAACTATATTTTTGAGTTTCATTCCTTATAAGGCCAAATCCTCACATATTCTGCGCAACAACAAACCGAGAACATACGCGAGAGACAAACTTAGACTCATCGATGAACCGAGAACATACGAGAGAGAGAGAGAGAGATGATTGGGGTCTGGGAGTCGATGCTGGTCGCTGAAAGCTTGCTGGGAGGGATCTGAGTCTCTGACTCATCTGCGACGCTAGGGATTCTGCGATGATGCTAGAGCTTTTTGTGTCTTCGATTTTAACAGGTATGCCTTACAATTATTTCAATTTTTCTTCTATTTCTGAAGTCGCAAATAAGGGTGAATTTGCTTGTGATTTTTTTTGACTTAGGGTTTGAAAAATGCCCATTTGAGTCTCAGATCTTCTTCTCCATTTTCTTTTTCCCTTACCATATTGACTTTGGAGATTTTGCTGAAGTTTCTACCAGTATCGGTCCTAGTCCGATGTAACTCGCCCGATTCAAACGATATGAGTCCGAGTTGAGCGGATACCATCGAGTTATAACCGATTCATTGCCGAGTCATGAATGACTCGTGATATTTATGTATCGTGTATCGATATCGGATCAGTCATGACCGAGACGGATACGACTCGGCCGAGTGGTATCGATCTCGGCCGAGTGGTATCGGTCGCAGCCGATACTTTGAACCCTGCTTCTACATGCCTTTCACAGAAGGTCACCACCACTTGTAGGAGTGGAAATAAAAAAAACAAATTTAACCTCAGAAATTATCATTAATCACTATTAGTAACAAAGAAGGATGCTCAAACCCTCAGAAACAGGAATTTAAACATAAGTTGTTGATCTTGTGATGATATTATCTATTGTCAAGAAGTAGAAGCAGGGTTTAGACCTACCAGGACCATTATAGGAATAATTAAGTGATAAACAAAGAAATATTTGGATTTTAAATAATTTGAATTACCATTGCATCTGTCTATAAGTCTGTGCCATATGAGCACTTGATTCGGTGATTTCCCCCCACCTTTTCATGGCCTTCTACAGTTTCTGTCATATGTCACCCATCTATATGCACACCTTTGTCTACTTCAAATTCCCATTATCTCTGAATGTCATCTCCATTCTTCATGAACAAATCTGAATGAAATAATTCAGTAACATAGCCAGTTAGTTTAAGCTGCCCGTCTAACTCATTCATAAGTGAGTAAATTTCAACAGAGGTGGGATGATATCGATCAGAAGCAGCAAACTGATGAATCTTCCTTCCCATTTCAATCCAACTGGACCCAAGAGATGCCTTTTCTACTCCGAGTACCTTCAAGGTTGCCCTGAGCTTAGCAACCTCGTTCCATCGATTTGCNAAGAGATGCCTTTTCTACTCTGAGTACCTTCAAGGTTGCCCTGAGCTTAGCAACCTCGCTCCATCGATTTGCTTCAGCATACATGTTAACTAAAAGGGTGTGATATCCACTATTGTTTGGCTCCAAAACCACTAAATTATCCATAGCAACTTGATCAATCTCCAAGTTCTTGTGAAGCTTACACCCACCTAGTAAAGCACCCCAAATAACAGAATTTGGTTCCATTCTCATATTTCCAATTAACTCTAAAGCATCTTCCAGCAAACCAGCCTTGCAAAATAGATCAGCCATGAATCCGTAGTGTTCAATTTCAGGAGCTATGGAATAATCGAGAGTCATGTTAAGGAACCTCCCACGACCTTCATCAACTAGTCCTGCATGAGTGCAAGCACTTAAAACACTTACAAAAGTAACACCATTCTGTTAAACATCTCATTCTCCATTCTGTTAAACATTGCCAATGCTTCTTCTGCATACCCATGAACAGCAAGCCCTTCAATTACAGAATTCCAACAGAAAAGGTTTTTGTCCCACAATTTGAGGAATACCATGAGTGATTTATCCATGCTCCCACACTTTGCATACATATCAATAAAAGCAGACACAATATAGACATCAAGATCAAACCCATTATGCATAACATAAAGGTGTGTTTCCTTTCCTAGGTCAAGTACCCCAATATGGGCACACACCGAAATAACAGTTGACATAGTCACTTCATCAGGCTTAACCCCGTTAGCCTTCATTTCATTGAAGACTGCCAATCCTTCGGTATACTGCTTGTTTTGCACGTAGCAAGTGATCATTGTTGTCCATGAAATTAAATCTGTTATAGGCATCTCATTGAACAGATGCTCAGCAGCCTCTACATAACCTAATCTTGCATAGCCATCAATCATCGTATTCCATGTAGCAGTATTCCTTTCAGGCATCTCGTCAAACAATCCCCATGCACAACCCATATCCCCCACTCGGGCATGTGCGGAAATCATCGTCGTCCATACAAAAACGTCTCTTTCAGGCATTTCATCAAACACCTGTTTCGATTCATCAATTCTACCTAAGGTTGAGTAAAAATCAACCAATGTTGTCTCAACAAAAACGTGCGATCGGAACCCAATTTTCCATATCTGCCCATGAACGGTTTCTCCAAATCCTACAGCACATACTAATGCACAAGCCTTTACCATCGAGGAAAATGTATAACTAGTGGGTCTAATTTGAGACCTCAACATGCCTAAGTAAAAGCGTAGAGCTTTGAGAGGGTAAAAACAATGGACAAAGCCTCTGATCATTGCATTGTACACGAATACGTTGGGATCTTTCATCTGGGTAAAGGCCAGAATCGAGTAATCTGTTCGTTCAAATGCCGAACAGGTCGTGATAAATTGGTTCATCAAAAAGCAATCTTGGTTTGCATTGGTCTTGGTCATAGAAGCGTATACAGATTCCAGTTCTCTCAAGCTTGAACATTTCTTCAAATTGTCGACTATATGGGTGAGTTTGATGGGTTCTGTTGCAAGTCTTGGGACTGAGAAATGGTTGAAGTTAGTTATCGCTTTAATCATTGTTGTAACGAAGAACACAAACGAACACAAGCCGAATCATTCGCATAAACACGGTTATCAACTCTGGGGGTGGGGTTGGTCCGGCGTGGGGGTTTCCGAAGAGAATCCATTTGATTTTCCCCTCGCTCTTCTGAAACCAAATTCAGCGAATTTGAGTCGAGCTTGTGGGCTTTGATAAGTTTTGAGTTTGGTTATCGAATATGCTTCCTGACTAGATTATGTATTTAGTTTGTGTCAACTCGTTTTAATATTATAAATAAAAATAATCATAAATACGAAAGGTTAAATGAAAAAAAAAATGAAATTGTGAAAAAAGTTAAAAGTAGATAATATAAGTCATATATTAAACATATTTAAATTATCAGTATTATTCAAACATCACACATTTACTGAAATTTATATAAGAACATGGAATTCAAATCAATTTCTAATTCAATGATAATGAAAACTATTATCTCAAAAGATATAAATTAAAGAAAATGTTATCGCCCTAAATACTAGAATAAATCTATATCAGAGTGGAAAACTCTTGATCACACCACCCACAATTAGAACAACAATAAGTGTGTTTAATGATTCCAACCAATAAATCAATAATCAAATAAATTGGCACCATCACGATCACCACCACCTGATTAATAAGCCAAATAAACAAAGCAAATGACGTCGTTACAACCATCACCACTTCTCCAAACTACATTTTCAAATAGGGGTTATTGGGACAAAACTATAGTATGAGCTATATTGGGGAAGAAAAGTTGTTTGATTTTTTGTGCGATTTGGCTTGATGGAGCATAACAAAGAAGAGTTTGAGAGACTTGTGGGAGTTGTTGCTGCAAGTATAGGCCGAGACGAGGGAGGTCCACAATGTTGTGTTTTTTGTGGGCATTTAGTCGAATAGTTGGTTCGGGTTTGAGGTCGAGTTTAGGATTAGGTCGATGTCTAGGGTCGAGTCCACGTTTAGATTTGAGTCTGGGTTTGTGGTCGAGGTTGGGTCTAGGTCCAAGGTAAGTGCCACAGTCCTTATCTTGTCTAGGGTCAAGCTCGAGTCTGAGATTAGGTCTGGGTTTGGGTTTGGGTCTGGGCTTGGGGTTGGCTTTAGGTTTGAGGTTAGGTCGAGTTCGAGTCTGGGTCCAAGTTTGATGTTAGGTCCGCGGTCTAGGGTTGGGGTAAAGTCTAGGTCTATGATCGAGTCTAAATTTGGGGTCTACTCCAAGATTTGGGATTGGGATTATGTCTCGGTCAAAGTCCAAGGTAGGGTCGGGTCAAGTTTGGGGTTCGGATTCAGGTCCAAGTCTAGGTTTGGGGTCATTTTCGAAGTTGGGTGCAGGGTTCGAGATCAAGATCTAGGTTCAATTTTGTGGTCGGGTTTAGGGTTGGGTCTAGGTTCGAGTCCGGGTCTATGTGCATATGTATATGTGTATTAGTGTGTGTGTGTATATTTTGGTGTGTTATTAAAATTATCTTTAGCCAAAATTCTACAAGTGTTTTTGTCATTGGATCAGTAGTAAAAAAAATTATAAAATGATTTGAATCTCGAAAAATACCTTGTACTTTATCATAAAGATTTTTTATATATTTGAATAAATTCAAACTCAAATCTACACAAGTTTAATTGAAAGCTGAAAACCTGTCAATGGAAGGATGAACGACCTTTATCTAATTAGTCACTTCAGCCATCCCTACTCACACTCCCACCCTCTCATCACAACTACATTCCATAATTGATAAATGCATAGTTTCAGTAGTCCGTAGGCTTTCTCTCAAAAGGAGTATATTTGAGGACGTCAATATTAGAGAACAACCAAGTTTTGTAGGAGGGAAGATGGTACGATTTCTATAAGAGAATCATCAATTATAGGAACTACATCCAGTATCCACCATTCAATGGCTCTTCCTCCACTACTTCAAAGCCCACCACCATAGTTAACCAACCACCTATGGAAAGGAAGTCAACCAAGAAGTTCTTGCATTAGAGGCTTATTAGCAAGAAGGCAGTGAAAACAACAAAAATTATGCAAGAGACAAAGGTTGAATGGACAGAGGAAAATTAACGGCTGAGGAGGCGAGCCTAACCATGCCCTGAAAGAAATCATATAAAAAACGCAGCAAAATTTTAAAAAAAAATTATAATAATAATTTGATTCTTCATATCAAGATCTATTTATATTTAATACAAATCGAGAAACCTTAGATCTACATAGAAGAAAGATTAAGGGTTATCTCTTAAAGCGTGATTTTAACAATTTTTAAGCATTCTCAAAAACATTAAAAATTCAAATCTGAATTTGATTTTTACCCCGAGTCTTGCAAATGTTTGGCCTCTGTCAATATCCACAGGAATTGATAAACTTGAAGAATATACCCAACCTTTGATAAACTAGTGTAGAGAGAGAGAGAATGAGGGGTGGTTTCTCTTGTGCTAGCAAAAGAGTTGTTATATTTACAATCCACTTCCTACANAGTGTAGAGAGAGAGAGAATGAGGGGTGGTTTCTCTTGTGCTAGCAAAAGAGTTGTTATATTTACAATCCACTTCCTACATAAAGATATTTATAGAGCTTTAAAGACTCAAATTCTAGTTTGGGTCAAGTTGTAGTTATCTCATAATTATACATAAACCCTTTTATTAACCATTAATTATAATAAAGTTCCTAATTAACTATTAATTAGATTTTTACCCCAATTAACTCTTAATTGATTTTCTCTTCTTTATTCTTAAGTTTCCAATCATTTCTATTATGTGCGACCCTATAGGTTCAAGCATACCTAGTTGTAGGCATTCAATATTAACTACAAGTAGCATCTCAAATTGGAACTCTTATAATTCTCCATTTATGAAGAATAATTAATATATTTATAATAATTTCATTATTCAGACTTCTACCAATCATGAGTGACATCTAGCAGCATATCATGATTAACCTCCGAAGAGCATGAAAAAGGTAAAGAACTCATTAAGTCTATAGTTTCCACGCAATTCAATCTATCTATCATACAATGTCCCAACTGAATTACTAGAGTATGAAATTATTGTCAAACCTTTAACTCAATCTTATGTGTTCAATATTAGAACTATGACTCTTAATGATCAATTAGAAATTCTTTTCTAATGATCATTCTGTCTTGGTCAAGAACTCCTTGAGTCGTATCCTATAAGATCACATAGGAGATTCTCCCTTTATTAATCAAGGCTAGTAGATTCTCTATTGTACACTTATAAATTTTCATGTATGTCTAACTATGTCCAACAATACATATCCAAGTTACGTGGTTAGTATATGAATATGTTGTATAATTAAAGTATAAAAATCAATGCACAAGACAACCATGGTGTCTCAAGTCTAAGGATCAGTTGCACAACTATAACTTTATGATTTAACATTGACAGGTATATAAAACTCTATATGAAAAATCCTACATTGGTCAATGGTCACGTTTAATGTACTTATTCTCTAACAAACACTCACACATCTGCTTTAGTGTCCTTACACTAATGACTTGGAAGAGTCACCTCATATCAAATATGAGTAAACATAATGTGTGTTAGTCTATTTGAATTACATAGTGCCTTCATAGTAATCCTATGACAAGGAACATTTAAGAGTTAAGTATTAAGAAGTATAAGTCTCCTCTTCTTAACTCCTTGAAAAACTATTCTCTTAACTTAAATTTTATACACTATATCATGTATATTAAAATAAAATTAGTTAGTAATATGGTAAATAAGCTTGCTTTTTTATTTAATTAAGTAATGAATATTACTAGTACAATCCTAAAATATTATCTATAAGGTTGGTTTTAGAGTATACTACTAACTGCCCCCACCTCCATCATGATTGGGTACGTATGGAATTGTCAAGGGTTGGTCCATACCTCAACAATTCGACATTTTAATACAACATGCAAAAGGTTTTATGGGGGTTTAGCTTTATGTTGGAAGAAAGATGTGGAAATGAAAATAGCCCTTTCTAACCACAACATTATCTTGTGAGTTGTAAGCTCTGACCCACCTCAGTCCCAATGGCTCCTCAATTGTGTTTATGAGCCAGCTATTAGGAGCAAACAATACCAACTCTAGGACAAAATGAACCAAATNTCAGTCCCAATGGCTCCTCAATTGTGTTTATGAGCCAGCTATTAGGAGCAAACAATACCAACTCTAGGACAAAATGAACCAAATCATTAATGATTCTGTCATTCCAACTTTATTTGTTGGTGACTTCAATAATGTCAGGACACATTTGAAAAAACAAAGGGGAGGTAGACCATTTGCCTCACCTTCCAATAGTGGTTTTGGTTCTTTCATTAATAACCATGGACTTGTTGATTTGGGATGCATAGGCAACCTATTTACGGGGTCATACAAGAGAGAATGATTGGCAAACATTAAAGAAAGGATAGACAGGGGCTTGGTGACTTCGGCATGGAGGATGTTGTTCCCAAGGGCTGTAGTTAGACACCTCCCAGTTATGGAATCTGATCACTGTCCATTACTGTTAATACATTGGGGGAGAAGCTCAACTTCTTCAAACCATTCAAATTGAAGCCATGTGGACAAGAGACCCAACTAGCCACCATGTCATAAAAACCTCCTGGTTTACCAAATCAAGAGGATCCATAGCCTTTAAATTCTGAAAGAAGTTGCAAAAGACCTATACAACACTTCGAGATTGGAATATAACACACTTTGGGAATTGTATCAAATTAAGGAAAGAATGAATTGGTTGCAGCAGGCTGAACCCAGACGTGACAATATACTGGAAGAGAGAGTCTTGTACAATGATTTAGCAGAACAACTTAGAAGGGAAGAGGAGCTATGGAACCAATTCATATCTAATTTTTAATTGTTATTCTCATCATCCCATCCTCAGTTCCTACCAGACATTGACCAATTGGTCCCCTTAATTATGCCATTAGAGCACACCCTATGCTCAATTCCCACCCAAGAAGTAATCAAAGCCACCTTATTTGACATGTCTTCACTCATCAAATTATAATACAATGTATATTCAATTTGTCTTAATCTCTCGTAATATTCAATTTTTTTTCCGGTCTAACGTGTGATGCATATTGTTTCATACCTATCAGTGCCATAAATAATAATTGTATTTCGGTTTTTTCCTAATTCCTCATCTAAATCACGTACATGACTTCACAGATTTTTTTTAGGTGGGGGCATCCCTCTACGTTGATACCGCATGAGCGAATGGAATAGTTGGCAACCCTTTGGGGCTTACTCTTAAGGAATTTTTTTTTTTATGAATTTTATAATTTCGACGTGAATGATCTGTCTTTAACCAAATTGGGAAAANTCTTAAGGAATTTTTTTTTTTATGAATTTTATAATTTCGACGTGAATGATCTGTCTTTAACCAAATTGGGAAAAAATTTAATTAAAGTGTGTGTAAATTAATTTACAATCATCTGAACGTTGAAAAAAAAATAAATGGAATAGTTGGTCATGACGAACACCACCTTGTTGACCGCAAATGTTCACCTCATATTCAGGTGAGACATGTGGTGTTTGTGGTGGATATGCCTCCGGCGCTGTCACAATTAATCTATACATGAGAAAGACATATGGCAACGAATCTTAAAAATATATTGGGCTCGTTTGATAGATGTATTATAAGTGAATTAAATAATAATTATTTAACATTAGATAAAATTATCTTATTTAATTTTATATTTTATCCTTTTATATTATATTAAATTATATTATTTTATCTAATTAATCTATTTCTAATACAGTAACCAAACAAACTCATAGGATATGATGCAACATTTTAATTTGTCTTAGGCTTTCATTTATTAGACCCACATCTAGTGATCAAGACAACCCAACACACACACACACACACAGATATATATATATATATATAACTTCAACGTTTATTGTGTGCATGTATATATAAATATGTTGGGTCAATGGTTAAATACGTAAGTGATGACATAAATATGTACATTTTGAATTTTTGTTAAAATATAATCTAACATCAAACAGACAAGCTTGCAGTGACTAAAAACTTAAACATGTTCGTTTTATCGTTTTGTTAGTTTGATCTTCATTATATTAATTTTATTAATTTGATCTTTAAAATTTTAATCACTAATCAGACAATTCGTCAAATTTTTTGTTACAAGTGACCATGTGTCATTTTTTAAGACGGTATCACTTGTCCAACATGTGATCATTCTGTCAAAAATTTAACGATCTATCTATGTAATAATCATTTAAACACGTATTAAATACTTTAAGATTCATTGACAAAACATGAATACTTTAATAACCAAAAATGTTATTAATACAACTTAAAATGTAAGATAATCGAATCTAAGCGATTTATTTTATGTTTTAGAGGCTTTATGTTTCAATATATAGGTTACTATGAAATTGAACACATGCTTTCATTTATTTATTTTTTTGTTAGAGGGTATTTAAATTTGCGTCAACTACTCTTTTGAACTCAACGGATGACCACCGTTGCTTGGGCTGTAACACGTGCTTTTATCAACCTAATCCAAGAATATATATTTCCTTCTCCTGAAAGTAGTGATATTAAATAGTCAAACAGATCATATCTCTTGGCATTTTTTTTTTTTGGCTAACTTGAATAAATATGAGAATCAATTGGTTGATGATGGTAACCCCATTTTCTTTCCTTCAACATGATCATCTTGTATACTTTATAAGCCAAAGCCACCAAGAAATACTTTCAGTTAAACACAACCTTCTCTAGGCTGCTAATCAGTGTCTCCATTGAAATCATGTCTAACACCGGAGAAGCTAACTGTGACGGGTTCGATTACGATAGAGCAAAAGAAGTGAAGGAGTTCGATGAAACAAAAGCTGGAGTTAAAGGACTCTTAGACACTGGTGTGATCAAGATCCCCAGAATCTTCCTTCATCCACCTGAAAACCTCCAAAACTCATCACCTCATACTGGTAGTAACCATCTTCAAGTCCCAGTGATAAATCTCGAAGGCTTTGAAAGTGGAAGACGAGTGGATATCGTCAATCAAATACTCAGAGCATTGGAGACATGGGGATTCTTCCAAATGGTTAATCATGGAATTCCCACTATTGTTATGGAAGAGGCCATAGAAGGCACAAAGCGTTTCCACGAGCAATCCCAGGAGGCGAAGATAGATTGGTATTCGCGTGATTATGAGCAGAAAGTAAAGTATTACAGCATCGGATATCTGCTTACATCCAAAGCTGCGGACTGGAGGGATTCGATAGCTTGTACCTTTGATGACGGTGTATTGGACCCTGATGCATTACCTTTCATTTGCAGGTAACTTGCAGAACCCAAAACTCCTGATCACCTGTCATGTATTCCATAAATTTTTAGAAAATGTTCTTATAATTTGCAGGAAACCCATAAGTGATTACATGCAATGCATGATTAGGTTTAAGGAGGAACTGTCGAAACTACTTTCAGAAGCACTAGGGCTTAACAGTGACTACCTAGAAAAGATTGGTTGCATGAAAACTGCTTCACTAGTGTGCCACTACTACCCCGTTTGCCCTGAACCAGACTTGACTCTAGGCACAGCCAAGCATTCAGACCCATCTTTCATGACTATTCTCTTGCAAGACAGCATTGGTGGCCTCCAAGTTCTTCACCAAAATCATTGGGTTGATGTGCATCCAGTGAAAGGAGCCCTAATAGCAAACGCAGGAGAGCTTATGCAGGTGAAGTTACAGAATATGCACTTCTAATTGTTCTGCAATCTCCAAAATCACAACTTAATTTTTATTCCTAAATTATGTAGCTTATAACCAATGACAAGTTCAAAAGTGTGGAGCACCGAGTACTGGCTGGACGAGTTGGCCCCAGGATATCAGCAGCATGTTTCTTCTTCCCAAATACTGCCACTAAATACGGACCAATTAAGGAGTTGCAATCAGACATCAATCCACCTAGATACAGGGAAACTCACACCAGAGAATACCATGCATACTACCAGGCAAAAGGACTAGATGGTACCTCAGCCCTTCCTCACTTCAAACTATAAGAACCAATGCTGATTGCGTATTACAATGCTGCTCAATTGGCTCCTAAATATCCTTAAAAATAATAGCTACTCTGTTCTATTGCCAATTAATCTATATCTTACCTTCTGAGAGAATTTATCTACATCTTTATGTATTCTGAAGTATTCAACCTCTAAAGTATTCAACCTCTACCTAAGAATGCTTTTAAATATTCTCAAGTGTCTACGTGGATCCTAAATTTTGTCTTTGGACAAGAAACTGCAACTTTGACTTTGTTCTCATCACCAATCCATTGAAAATTGAGCTTAAATATGCATACATGACCATCTGGCATGGTGGAGAATTTTTTGTTCAAAACTAGGCATAATCTGCAATGTTTAAGAGCCGAGAGAACCACTGTAACACCCTTCACCAAGATAAAAGCAATTCTCATGAAGAAAATGATAGAAAGGTTTGGAATGCAACTTTAATGGTGGTGCAGACGCTCGCGTCCGTTTGATCTCTCAACTGATTGCCAAAACAACTGTGTTTATTCTGTGCAGGAAAGTACTTTGTCTTCCCATCCATTATAAACCTCAAAAGCACTTCAGGCGCCTCAACAATTTCTCCTTAGTATGTTTCTCAATGCTGCATGTAACACAACAACAAATTCCAATCTCACGAGAAGAATAAGTAAACCAGATGGCAGTCCTTCTACATGCCTTTCACAGAAGGTCACCACCACCTGTAGGAGTGGAAATACAAAAACAAATTTAACCTCAGAAATTATCATTAATCACTATTAGTAACAAAGAAGGATGCTCAAACCCTCAGAAACAAGAATCTAAATGTAAGTTTTGATCTGGCGATGATATGATCTATTGTCAAGAATTAGAAGCAGGGGTTAGACCTACAAGGACCAATATAGGAATACTTAAGTGGGAAACAAAGAAATGTTTGGATTTTAAATAATTTGAATTACCGTTGCCGCTGTCTATACGTCTGTGCCATAGAAGCACTTGATTTGGAGATTTTCCCCCACCTTTTCCTGGCCTTCTACCGTTTCAGTCAAACATCACCCATCTATATAGCACAACTTTATCTACTTCAATCTGAATGTCATCTCCATTCTTCAAGAACAAATCTTAATGAAATAATTCAGTAGCACAGCCAGCTAGTTTGATCTGCCCATCTAACTCATTCATAAGTGAGTAAATTTCAACAGAGGCAGGATGATATCCATCAGAAGCAGCAAACTGATGAATCTTCCTTCCCATTTCAATCCAACTGGACCCAGGAGAAGTCTTTTCTACTCTGAGTACCTTCATGGTTGCCCTGAGCTTAGCAACCTCGTTCCATCGATTTGCTTCAGCATACATGTTAACTAAAAGGGTGTGATATCCACTATTATTTGGCTCCAAAACCACCAACTTATCCACTGCAACTTGAGCAATCTCCAAGTTCTTGTGAAGCTTACACCCGCCTAGTAAAGCACCCCAAATAACAGAATTTGGTTCCATTCTCATATTTCCGATTAACTCTAAAGCATCTTCCAGCAAACCAGCCTTGCAAAATAGATCAACCATGCACCCATAGTGTTCAATTTCAGGAGCTATGGAATAATCAAGAGTCATGTTAATGAACCTCCTACGACCTTCATCAACTAGTCCTGCATGAGTGCAAGCCCTCAAAACACTTACAAAAGTAACACCATTTGGCTTCATCTTCTCATTCTCCATTCTGTTAAACATTGTCAATGCTTCTTCTGCATATCCATGAACAGCAAGCCCTTCAATTACAGAATTCCAACAGAAAAGGTTTTTGTCCCTCAATTTGAGGAATACCACGAGTGATCTATCCATTCTCCCACACTTTGCATACATATCAATCAGAGCAGACCCAATATATATGTCAAGATCAAACCCATTATGCATAACATAAAGGTGTGTTTCCTTTCCTAGGTCAAGCACCCCAATATGGGCACATGCCGAAATAACAGTTGACATAGTCACTTCATCAGGCTTAACCCCGTTAGCCTTCATTTCATTGAAGACTGCCAATCCTTCGGTATACTGCTTGTTTTGCACGTAGCAAGTGATCATTGTTGTCCATGAAATTAAATCTGTTATAGGCATCTCATTGAACAGATGCTCAGCAGCCTCTACATTACCTAATCTTGCATAGCCATCAATCATCGTATTCCATGTAGCAGTATTCCTTTCAGGCATCTCGTCAAACAATCCCCATGCACAACCCATATCCCCCACTCGGGCATGTGCGGAAATCATCGTCGTCCATACAAAAACGTCTCTTTCAGGCATTTCATCAAACACCTGTTTCGATTCATCAATTCTACCTATGGTTGAGTAAAAATCAACCAATGTTGTCTCAACAAAAACGTGCGATCGGAACCCAATTTTCCATATCTGCCCATGAACGGGTTCTCCAAATCCTACAGCAGATACTAATGCACAAGCCTTTACCATCGAGGAAAATGTATAACTACTGGGTCTAATTTGAGACCTCAACATGCCTAAGTAAAAGCCTAGAGCTTTGAGAGGGTAAAAACAATGGACAAAGCCTCTGATCATTGCATTGTACACGAATACGTTGGGATCTTTCATCTGGGTAAAGGCCAGAATCGAGTAATCTGTTNAAAAGCGTAGAGCTTTGAGAGGGTAAAAACAATGGACAAAGCCTCTGATCATTGCATTGTACACGAATACGTTGGGATCTTTCATCTGGGTAAAGGCCAGAATCGAGAAATCTGTTTGTTCAAATGCCGAAAAATTGTCGACTATATGGGTGAGGTTGTTGGGTTCTGTTGCAAGTCTTGGGACTGAGAAACGGTTAAAGTTAGTTATCGCTTTAATCATTGTGGTAACGAAGAACACGAACTAACACACGCTGAATCATTCGCATAACACACGGTTATCAACTCTGGGGGTGGGGCTGGTCCGGCGAGGGCGTTTCCGAGGGGAATCCATTTGATTTTCCCTCGCTCTTCTGAAACTAAGTTCAGCGCATNCCTCGCTCTTCTGAAACTAATTTCAGCGCATTTGAGTTCTAAGTAACTTTAACATGAGTCGAGCTTGTGGCGCTTTGATATGGTTGAGTTTGGTTATCGAGCATGTTTCCTCATTCAAGTTCGACTATTAAGTTTGTTTCAACTTGCCCTTAGAATACTAAAATAAATCTATATCTATGCTAATAAGATAGATAGAAATTCAAATTTTTCCAATTGAAATCAATCCCCAAATTTAGAAAAACAGACCGACGGTTAGGATTTAATTGAAATTTAAATAAATGGTTCAGATTTCATCTAAACTCATTTAAGTATATCCGATGGCCCATAATTTATCCCACCCAAATTCATCTTTCCGCCCACTTTAACAACACACACACGCCACCTAGCTGACCCATCTCATCTCATCCCTTTCCAAGCAAAACCCAGTTGACACAGAGAATTCCTCTACCATGGCTATCCTTGAACCCACACATCTTCCACCGTGATGGATGCCGAGTAATTCCAGTCCACAAGAGAAGCTGAGCTATTCCCATGGCCACACAACCTGCAACATTACACTTAGAAATCAAAACCCAGCTGACCCATCACATCCCAGGCGGCCATCTCTCTCTCTCTCTCTCTCTCTTTCTCTCTCTCACACACACACACACACACTCACACTCACACTGAGAACTCCTCTACCATGGCTAAACCAACATCAAATATCTCATGTATTGCCCAGGTACACCTCTCTCTTAGTCTCTCTCTCACGACACACACAGTGAAAAACACACACAACATCAAACCCACACACACCAGCACACACACAACATATATTGAACCCACACACACATAAATTGATTGAGTCTTCATTTTGGTTTGAAAATTTAACAAAAGTGAATGTTAAACCCGCATTCTCCCATATAGGTGAAGTAGTCTAATATTTATTCTAACGACTTGATCTTGGTAAGTGCCCCCATGTAAGAGTTATCAGAACATGCAACTAAAACCCCAAGGTTCTGCTCTGAGGCATGACGTTAATGGCTGGTTTAGTGTTGTTGATCGTTGAATACTATTAATTTTGGTTTTAATTTGAGTGTTTTTTTTTTCAAATAAATTTAACAAATTGAATTTTAAATTATTTTGAATGTTCAATTTGTTTGAATGTTAAAGTTGAGATTTTTCGAATGTTCAATTAGTTTGAATGTTATAATTTTGGTGTTAATTGTATTTATTTGGGTGTTAATTTGAGTGCTTTTTTTTTCAAATAAATTTAACAAATTGAATGTTAAATTGTTTTGAATGTTATAGTTTGGGGTTTTTGAATGTTGAATTGGTTCAAATGTTGTAGTTTTAGTGTTAATTGTGTTCATTTGGGTGTTCATTTGAGTTTTTCTTTTTCAAATAAATTTAACAAATTGAATGTTAAATTGTTTTGAACGTTATAGTTTACTTTTTCTGAATATTCAATTGGTTTGAATGTTATAGTTTTGGTGTTAATTGTGTTCATTTGGGTGTTAATTTGAGTGTTTTTTTTTTCAAATAAATTTAACAAATTGGAGGTTAAATTGTTTTGAGTGTTCAATTGGTTTGAATGTTATAGTTTGGGTTTTTCGAATGTTCAATTGATTCGAATGTTGTAGTTTTGGTGTTAATTGTGTTCATTTGAGTGATAATTTGAGTTTTTCTTTTATAAATCTATACTAATTAGATAGAGAGAAATTCAAAATTTTCCAATTGAAATCAACCCCTTAATTTAGAAAAGCAGAACAACGGTTAGGATTTAATTTAAATTTAAATAAATGGTTCAGATTTCATCTAAATTCATTTAAACTCATCCAATGGCCCATAATCTATCCCACCCAAATTCATCCTCCCGCCCACTTTAACGACACACACATGCCACCCAGCTGACCCATCCCATACCATCCCAAGCAAAACCCAACTACCCCATCTCTCTGTCGTTCGCTCTCTCTCTTTCTCTCTCACGACACACACAGTCAAAAGCCCACATCTCTCTGTCCGATTGTCAATTGTTGATTGCCTCTGCCATGTCGAGTAATTCCAATCCACAAGAGAAGCTGCCATATCTTTCTGTCCGATTGCCGGTACACCTCTCTCTCTCACTCTCTTTTATGACACACACAGTCAAAACCCACACACACCAGTTTCAACATATCGCGCACACACAGAAGGGGTATTACTTCTTTTCTTTTTTTCTGTTGGAACTGAAAAATATAGTTGAGGCAAACTGCATTCAATGTTATTGTTGTTTTTTATGCAAATTGGAATGTTATGGTTTGGGTTTTGGTGCTTAATATTTGTGAAATTAGAAGTTGGGTTTTAACTTGAATGATAGGGTATTTTGATTGAAATATGGTTTTAGTTTTTTGATTGAATGAATTATTTTGATTGAGATTTGGTGTTACTTTTATGAAATAGAGTTAGAGTTTTGTTAATCATATGAAATGGAATGTTAATTAATTTGAAATGTTATGATTTTGATTTTGTTGGGTTTTTGATTAAATTAAAATGTTATGGTTTTTTTTTTTTTTTTGTTTTTCCAATTGGGTTTTGATGATTAATGTTTGTGAACTTGGAAGTTGGGTATGCTATTGAACTTTAGGGTTTAAAAATTGAAAGTTAGGATTACTTTGATTGAAATTGAGTGTTACTTTCATCAATTTCAAAAGTTTCCAATTGAAATCAATCCCCTAATTTAGAAAAGTAGAAGAACGGTTCAGATCTCATCTAAATTTATCTAATTAAATCCAACGGTTCATAATCCATTCCACCCAAATACATCCTCCTGCCCACTATACCTACACACACGCCACCCATTTTTTTTTATCAATATTCCATCCAATTCAAACGTCTTTCTCTCTCTCTCTCTTGCTCCTCCCAATTCAAACATCTCTCTCTCTCTCTCTCTCTCTCTCTCTCTCTCTTGTGCTCCTCTGTCATGGAAGCCGCTAAAGTACCCCCTCTCTCTCTCGCTCCTCTGTCATGGAAGATGCTAGGTACCCCCCCTCTCTCTCTCTCTCTCAGGAACGAGCCCAGGTAACTTCCTCTCTCTCTTCGCACACACACACACGATACATACACACAACACACACATGTTCGAACACACACACACACAAGTAGTAGTACACATATATCGCAGAGAGATAAAGGTAGTAGATACACACACACAGAGACAATCGATTACACACACCACACAGTCATATTCACACACATACACAAACAGCAAGCACACATATTTTAAAGCAATTTTTTGGATGTTAATTTGGGTGTTCAAATTAGTGGCTAATTTTCAAATTGGGGTTTCCATGACATCGTGTTTGTTACATTTCAAATTAGTGGCTATTCTTATGGTTTTTAAATTGAATGTTTGGTTTATTTTGGATTGCGATTGGGTTTTATTAATTTGGAATGTTATGGTTTGGGTTTTTTAGGGTTGTTATGAAATTGAAATGTTATCGTTTTTTTATGCAAATTGGGTGTTAATTTTATAATATAGGGTTTTGGTGCTTAATATTTGTGAAATTGGAAGTTGGGTTTTAAAATTGAATGGTAGGGTTTTGGTGCTTAATATTTGTGAAATTGGAAGTTGGTTTTAGTTTTTTGATTGAATGAATTATTACTTCCATGAAATAGCATTAGAGTTTTGTTAATCATATGAAATGAAATGTTATGGTTTTTTTTTTTTAACATTCGATTGGGTTCTAATTTTATAACATAGGGTATTGGTGATTAATGTTTGTGAACTTGGAAGTTGGGTTTGCTATTGAACTTTAGGGTTTAAATATTGAATGTGAGGATTACTTTAACTGAAATTGAGTGTTACTTTCATACTTTAATGAAATAGGATTTTCTTAGTTGCATGAAATAAAATGTTGCGTTGATGATTATTGAGGGTTAAATTGATGAAATAGGATTATTTTGACTGTTATTGTTATTTTGATTGAAATTATAAGTTGCGTCAACTAATCCACCAACGACCCTCTAGCACCCCAAGAAGACCAACAATGTCTACCATCCTATGAGATATTTATCTCTCTCTTTTCCCTACACAAACCCTCTTCGATCTCTCAGCCACCCACCCACACACTCACTCACCAACCAATCCATAATTGATGCAAAAACCCTACACGCAAGCCATCACTCTTTAGTTGGGTCTACCTTTTGTTGAATTTAGTCATTTTTGCTTAATTTCATGTCCTTTGTTGGTATTTGGTAATTTTGATTTTTGATTTTTGATTCCTATGTTGTTTGGTTACTGGGAAAACTTATGAAGTCTATTTTTTGATTTTGGTTTTTTTATCCATTTTTGGTATATGAATGCAACACTAAATGAGGAGGGAGAGAGAGATAACACTTTTTTTAGTCAATTATTTATTTTTCAAAACTAAAAGTTTGTAAAACAATTTTAGTGGGTGTTAATTTTAGTGTTTTTTCGAATAAGTTTTGTTATAGCTTTAATGTTATA